GGCCGGACAACTGGATGCTTTTTTAAAATAAAAGAATGTTCTTTCAGTAGAAAGGTGGCAGGCTTCGGATGTGGAATGCTGTGTGAGAGAGTCATTTTATTGGTTGTTTTTCCCTAATAGTTTTTCTTTGTAAGGAGGGGCAAGGAAGATGATATACTTGGAAATGACCATAATATAAAAACAAAAGCCATCAGTAAATCTTATTTACAAAAATAGGATGTAGATACATTAAAGCCTAGGGATGAAGTGATTACCCAAGGTAGCTGCTCACAGTAAGAGAAGATCAATTTAGGGATACAAGGAGGATTTTTATTTATTTGGATAATGGCTCTTCATTGAAGGAAGAATTTCCCCCCTCCTTCCCATCCCTGTACTTTTGCTATGACTTTAGCTATGAGCATGTACTTTGCACAACCTTGGAATGAACGTCCGCATGTAGGATGTAGGTCAGTGGGGAAATGGGTTTTCTTAAGACAAATTTTTCAGGAAGACATCTATTTAGTTTATTGCCGGATATCCGTATTATACTGTTATTCAAATGGTACTCTCAGATAGTAAGCCAACTAATGACTAATAGTAATCAAAGTTGCCATGTGTATTTCCATTAAGTACCTAAGTAGAAAATCACCTGGGAGCTGCTTGTCCTCAGTACTTCCAGTTACTTATTTATAAAAAGAACTTTGTCTAAATTTCCCTTCGTATTCTGAATAGTGCACATAGCCAGTGCTCAGTGTTGATTCCTTGAACTAAATTATGCAGCATTGGCTCTCAGTGATGTAGTAGATTAAAGAAAAGGCAATCAGTGAGGGTTTATGCAATTATCAAAGATTTCATGGAAGGAACAGGACTTCAGCTGGGTCTTGATGGGTAGGATTTGAATGGAGACACAGGAGGGCATTCCAGGAAAGATAGACAATGACTGATGTCACAGAGGTAGAAATGAGAATGGGTCATCTGTGGGACAGTGATAAAAGCAGCCCAGCTATCTAGTCAGAAGATGCTGGTTGGGTGAAAAGTCAGAGGTGATGAATGAGATCAGATCGACTTTTTTGCTTTCTTCCCTTCAGCTCAGTTGGAAAGCTTCACCAGCAACCCAAGCTGTGATGAAGGGCACCATCTAATCAGAAAGGTAGACAAACTAAAATCTCCAATCCACCAAGAATTAGCCTTTTATTCCCAATTAATAATAATACCTGTACTATCTACCTTACAGGTTTTGTGTGAAGCTAAAATGTGATAATATATGTCAAGGAGATGCAAAATTTAAAATGCCACATACATTATCAGAATATAGATAATAGACATTTTTACCCACCTGGTGTTTCCTATATGGATAATTCAGTCAAACTTTTTCAAGTTTGCAGGTTTTTTCAGGATTCTCTGCAATGTTCTGGGACTTGATGAAACCAGATAGGATTCATTGCAGATAAGAGCATCTAGAAGACTTCATTATCCATAGGAAATCTTTTTTCAAATGGACCCAGGATTTCATCAATGTGGATACTCCCTCCAATGATGCAAACTGGGCCCATTCATGTTTACTAGACTTGTGTGAGTTTTGTACATGCCTTCCTATAATTTTGAAGTGTAAATAAAGGGTTGATCCAACCACACTGTGAGACTTCCTTGTTTTTGTTTTCTTCTGATATTTTGACAATACAAGTGGAGTAGTTGAGCAGTGTAGTGGGATATTAAATTCTCTACCTCTTTTAGTCAGTTGTGTGATGAAGTTTACTATGGAACATTATTAGCACCCTCATTAAGAATTAATGTGTATCCTTAATGTTTGTGTGTAAATTTTTCTTATGGAAATTTTTAATGGGAAAGTAGGTATTTAAGTTAGTAGTTACTAATGTTTTCTTGGTCATCTTTTTTGTATATGTATGGATATATATGTGTGTGTGTATACACATATGTACATACATATATATAAACATACATAGCTATTGTTGTTCACTCTTCCTTTTGAAGAAAACCAATTACATCATGGGATGTCTTGACTTGCTGTGAATTGGATTTAAGTGAGGCAGAGTTGCACAAAGTTGTCAGCCTCTCTCTCTTCCTGAGTCATCAAAGTCCAATGGCAAAACTAAAGTCAAGATGACTGGTGATGGCTTGGGATACAGTGAATGACCTTGGTATCTTCAATGCCTGACCAAGCTCTAAGCACTACACAGCGCCTGCTTCAGCTGCATTCATGGCCATTGGAGCAAATTGTTCTTATCCACCCATTCCATAGGGGGAAGTCTTCACATGCTTGGGGTGAACATTCCTCTAACTCACCAACAGGTTTGGTTATCCTCAGTCTGTCTGCCAAGATGGTTTTACCAGGGTGTGGTTGCTGTGTGTGTCACAGCTTCCTGAAGCCACAGGTGACAGTAAGGTGAAAGGTGGATACCAAAGGTGGATGAGAATATAATATACACACAAACATATATAATATACAATGTATATAACAATGTATATATGTGTGTATGTATATGTTTGTGTATATGTGTGTATGTATATATATATATATATATATATATATATATATATATATATATACATAAAAATGTAGTATGTGGTTTTTCACCCCATGTCTCTTATATCTTCCTCCCCTTAGATTCCCTTGAATCAATCCCTGAGTGATTTCATAATTGCATTGTCTCCAGCACAGATCTCCTTTATATGCACTCTCCCTGCTTCATCTCTCCCTTCTCCAATAATGATGGTAACATTTATATATTGATTTAAGATTTACAAGATACTTTACACATATCATCTCATTTAATCCTTTCAACAACATTGTGAAGGAGGTACTATTATTATTCTCACTTTACAGATAAGGAAACTGAGGCTCGGCACTCAATGCCACCTAGCTGCAAAATGACTTTTTCAGTCAATCCTTGCTGAACTGATATTGCTAAAGCAGAGGACTAACCATGTCACTTTTTTGTTCAATAACCTTTAAGGGCTCTCCATTTCCTATACAACAAAATGCAAACTCCCTTGTTTGGCATTTTAAGACCTTCACAATATGGACCTATCCTATCTTTCTAGTTGATTACACATTATTTCCCCTCTCTTCCTCTCTACATTTCATTCTTCAGGCAAACTGGCCTACTTGTAGTTCCTTGAACATAATATGCTATTCTTGCCCCAGTGCCTTTCTTTTCCCTTTGTTTTGAATAGTCTCACACCTCACCTCGGCCTCTGGGAACTCCTAGCTACCTTCAAGGCTTAGTTCTAGAGTCATCTCCTTCGAGTGTCCCTTCCTGATTCTCCCAATTATTAGTGCCTCCTAATCCCCCTCCCCAGTCACAGTGTATTGATTTTGTATTTACTTTTGTCTTTTATTTTGTATTTATACTGTACTTATTTGTATTCAGTGAACATTTTGTATCCCTCGAGGAGATGGTCTCTTTTGTGTTTTTATCTTAAGTACCCAGAACATAGTAGGTGCTTAATAAATGTTTATTGATTGATCATAGCGGAAAAGGCATGGATTTGGAGTCAGGAGTCCTTGATTGGGGGTGCCTGCTATGTGCCAGACACTGTAATATATCATCTCATTTGCTACTCAGTAGACAGGTGACCTTGCTCTCTTAGGCCCCTCTCATTTCTAACCATCTGTGAAAATCTGGGAGGGTTTTCCAAAATGCTTTAATTTATTAGCAATTAAGGAATTGGCTTTAAAAATAATAAAAGAATGAAATTCCAGAGAGTTTACAAGCTCCTAGAATCATAGCTCAAGATCCCCTTAAATATAACCCTAAATAGCTAGCCTGTTTCTGTTAACCGAATCTTTGACATCCCTTCCTCAGCTCCCATCTCAGGATCCTCAGGTCTAGTACTTACCAAGAGCTTGGCTGGCAAGTTTCCTTTGTCTCCTATAGGCACCAGATAAGCTGGATGACCACTTGTCAGGAATCTTCCTTTAGTTTGGATGCAGTCAAAGGGTACCTATAGGGCCACATGTGGCCTCGAGGCCACAGATTCCCCACCCCTGTTGGACTACGTGACCACTGAAATCCTTTCCAACTCTCAAATTATGTGATTCTATGACTCCCACCCCTATCTTCTCATCTATTCTAGAGATACTATTGGTTCTTCCTACAAATTCCCAGTGCAAGCATTTTAGTGGCCATGATACCAACACCTTAATAAGACTGCCATGACCTGTCCATGTCCCACCCATTTTCCCATAGTGGCCTGATAACAGAAGGCACCTCCCTCATGCCAAGTAAATAGCATAGGTTTATAACCTCTATATAGGTGTACTCTACACACATGGTTGTTCAGAAATACAGTCATGCCCACAAATAATCTCCGCCAAGAGTTTAGGGAGGTCCATTTTCTCATCTTAGTTTCCTTACCTTTTTCTTATACAGTTGCAGCATTCCTCCTTAAATACATACATAGGCCCAGGTCCACCTATAGTTTCTCACCTCTGACTTGTCCCCTGATCTGTAACCCCTTTAGCCTCAGGCTCAGATTCTGTCCTATTTATGCCTTGATTATTGCCAGTCAATAGTTGGTCAATAAGGGAGGGAAGGGAATAAGCATTTATATAGGACCTACTATGTACTAGGCATTGTACCAAGTACATTTTTTTTAAACAAATATTGTCAGTCTCTTCTGGTGCTATGGGGTTAGGAACAAACATAATATAGTATTTACTACGTGCAAGGTACTATGCTAAGTGCTTTATAAATACTGTATCAACTGATCTGCAGAACAATCCTGAGAAGTAGATGTTATTATCCCCATTTTATAGATGAGGAAACTGAAATAAATTGAGGTTAAGTGACTTGTCCAAGGTCACACAACTAGTAAGTGTCTGAGGTTGGATTTGAACTCAGGTCTTCCTGGTTCTCAGCATTCTACTGCACGACATAAATGCCCCAATAAGCCAGACTCTATACTAAGTGCTAGGGTTAAAAAAAAAAAAAGACAGTCCTTGCTCTCAAGGAGCTCACTGTATAATATATTATTGTTTTTTCTCAATTATCCTACAGCATTACCTGGATTCCAGGCACTTCCTTGCCTGCCCTGACCTCTAAGACATGTCAGTTCAAAGAAGCTTTGGTTGATCCTTTGGATTTTGGTCTCTGACAGTGGGCTGTTTCCTAGCATTGGTCCATCCACCTGCCTACTGACAACTGTCTGGCTTGTTCTTGATCTTGACTCCAGCAGTCTCCTTCGCTCTGCCCAGATAACCAAGACGACAGCACATGGCTCATCTCACACTTCCCAACTTGTCGAAGTCAAGCCCAGATCTCTTCCTGGATTTCCTGGTCACCCCTCTGAAGAGTTTAGTCCAACTTCCATCCCCACCCCAGTACACCAGTGATGGGGAATTTAGATTTGATGTGCCAGGAGATGGAGAGCCATTGAAGATTGTTGAGTAGGAGAGGTGAGAAGTCAAAAGACATAAAGATCAGCAACCACAGGGGTTCAGAAACTAAAGAATTAAGTGAGAGGCAAGGGTGGTGGTGGCCAACTGGGATGCAAAATGAAGGAATGTAAACAACAACAGAAGCAAAAATATTAATAGATAGCTGACGTTTCTTTAGCACTTAATTTGCAATGTTTGCTTTACACAACTTATTGCATTTGACCCTCATAACAACCCTGTGATGTACGTACTACAATATAACTTTAATGCATTGTTATACCATCAATTTGGCTACTTCCCCCACTGGGGTAGATTGCAACCCATTTACACCATCTCATCCTGTGAGATGCTTGTCTTTATGCTCCCAGTGACTAGGAATCTTCCTTTATGTGGCTATCAGTCAAGCACATGATCTGTCTACAGATTCTCCCTTATTCTCACTATATGACCAGCCTGCTTTACACATCATACATATCTCTGATGACATACTCTATACTGCCTCTTCTATAAAATTCTTCATTCCATTTTTGTATGTGTATGTATAGGTATATATGTATATGTGTGTGTATGAGTGTGTTCATGCAAACATATGTATGTATGTATATGTGTGTGTGTATATTTATTTACCCCCATTTTACAGATGAGAAAACTAAGTCTCAGAGAGGTTAAATGACCTCCTCAGGGTCATCCAGGTGATAAACGTCAAGGTCAGAATTCAAACGCAGATCTGCCCTATTCTGAGCCCAGGACAAAGTTAGAGACTGATGAGAATGGGGTGGAGCAAGGTAGGCAAGGCTTCTTCGAAAACATGATTCTTGGGGCAGGTAGGTGGTGCAGTGGATCGAGCACCAGCCCTGGATTCAGGAAGACATGAGTTCAAATTTTGCCTCAGACACATAATACTCACTAGCTGTGTGACCCTGGGCAAGTCACTTAATCCCACTGCTTAGCCAAAAAAAAAAAAAGATGATTCTTGAGTTTGGTCTTAAAGGTCTTGATGAATGTGGGCTAAAAATGGAGGTAAGGAGAAGATTTGAGCAAAGTCTCAGGGACAGGAGCAAGGATATTTTAACGCAGGTTTCAAATTACCTAGACCCCCTAGTGGAGCCAAAGATGTTATATTTCCTGAGCACATGAGCTTGTTTCCAATGGCAAAGTGGGGAAGCTGCCCATTTCTGGTAATTGTGCAAAGGGGAAGGGCCGCTCTTGGAACGCAAAGCCATTTCCTTCATGTTGGTTATTCTCCCTGTTATCTATGCCCACATGGTATGCATGCATCTCAGAGATACACTTTTCTTTCCAGTGGCTGTTTGTTCAAACTCACAAGAACTTTATGTAGCATCCCTGGACATCCATAGGCAATGACTTGTTCACTCAGTCACCAGGACACTTTCTGTTCTGACTGGGAATAGAACAACTGTTTTGTTTTGCTTATAACTATAAAGATGGGGGATATGAAAAGACAAGAGGAGACCAAATTCCATCAATGATTATTTACTAAGTACATACTAGTCCCCATCCCTATGTTAGTAACCATGGGAAATATAAAGAAAGGGACATAGAAAAATGTCCTGATACCTTTAAGAAACTTAAAATTGCTAAGAAGAGACAAGGCACAAACAGAAAAAGTTACTGAGACAAAAAAAAATTAAATAGCAGTTCAAGACTTCAACTAAAGAGATGTTAGAATTCAATACATGATTGAGAAGCAGCATGATGAAATGGATGGAGCACTGGCCTTGGAGACAGAAGACTTTGGTTCAAATTCTGCCTTAGACATTTAGATGAGTACAAGTAAATGTTATTCATTCAGTCATGTCCAGCTCTTCATGACCCTTTGGATCATAACACATCAATGATAATCATGGGGTTTTCTTAGCACTGGCCTTGGAGACAGAAGACTTTGGTTCAAATTCTGCCTTAGACATTTAGATGAGTACAAGTAAATGTTGTTATTCATTCAGTCATGTCCAACTCTTCATGACCCTTTGGACCATAACACATCAATGGTAATCATGGGGTTTTCTTAGAAAAGATACTGGTGTGATTTGCCATTTCCTTCTCCAATGGATTAAGGCAAGCTGAAGTTAAGTGACTTGCCCAGGGTCACATAATTAGTAATCAAATCTGAAACCAGATTTGAACTCAGGTCTTCTTGACTCCAGGCCCCGAGCTCTATCCACTGAACCACCCAGGTGCCTCTTACTAGTAATTTAATCTAGTACTAGTACCAGTCATTTAATCTCTCTGTGCCTCAGTTTTCTGAGGGGGTTGGACTTAATGGTCTCTAAGATCCTTCTTAGCTATAAATCCATTATCCTACAACCTAATTTCCGAATGAAATGTAGCCAACACTTTGTTATATGAGTATAATAGATGGAGAGAACAGTCAAGGTCAGGTAGTCAGGAAAGGCTTTCTAGATGAGGTGTGTTTTAAATGGAATCTTGGGATGGATGGGATCAGAATAGGAAGGATAAGGAGGACATTCTAGATGGATAGAACTGAGGAAACAAAAGCCCTGGGGTGGGGAAGCACGAGATGCATTTGGAATATGGTATATTCAGGGGACAGTGAAAGGGAGGAGATGTGCATAATTAGACTAGAGGACAGGACTAGATTACAGAAGGTGGTGAAATTTATAAAGGCATCCCAGCAGTCATCAACAAGCATCTATTAAGTGCCTGTGACGTACAAGGCACTGTTCTAGGTATACAATGAAAAAAATTAGAACAGCCCTTTCCCTCAAAGAGCTTATATTTTATTGGAAGAGACAGTGAGCTCACATCTAAGCATACTGTATACAGAATAAATGTGCAGAGTAAATACAAAATATAAGACAGCTAAATACAAGGTAGTTAGGGAGGGAAAATACAGTAGTTGAGGTGATACATTTTGTAGAAAGTGATGATTGAGATGTGTTTTGAAGGAAGTTAGGGATTCTGTGAAGCAGAGGTGAGAAGGTAACATGTTCTAGACATGATGACCAGTACGAAGGCAAAGAGACAGGAGACAGAAGGCTGTGTTGGGGAATTCAAAGAACTGTAGTTTGGCTGGACCCTAGCATGTGAGAAAGACAGGTTGAAGCCACTTTAGGAAGGGTTTTTAAAGCCAATCAGTAAATGTCGCTCAAGTTATTTCACAGGTGGTGACTGTTGTACATCTTCATTAAGGGTAGAGCCATAGAAATGGATTTAAATTGAAAAATGGTGGTGAGGGGTTGATATTAAACATAAATGTGTGTTGTGACTGTCAAATATCAACACCCGTCAATTGAGAATCCTTCACTAAAAACCTCAAAACTGATGGGCTCCCCATGATTTTAAATATGCTCCTGTCTAGAGGCTGGGCAATGGCTTAGATGTTTTCTAGGTGGAAGATTATCTGCCAAGATAAGGTACCAGACACCAAAGTCCTTTCTTAAGCTGAGCTACCCCCAACATACAAACACTACTGCAGAGAGCACCATACACTGGGCTGGCCATGTTGTTTGAATGACAAATGTACATTTACATAAAATACTATTTTATGAAGAAGTAGCACAAGGCAAGCATACACAGGGAGGTCAGAGGAAGTAGCACAAGGACACTCTCAAGGTCTCTCTGAAGAACTTTAGTATTGATTGTGAGAAATGGGAGACACAGGCACAGGACCTCCAGCATGGCATACCTGCAACAAGGAAGGCTCTGTGCTCTATAAGCAAAGCAGAATTGCAGAAGCACAAAGGAAACACGAGATGCACAAATCTAGAGACATCTCCATCCCAAATGTTCAAACAGACATTTGCACCCAACCTGTGGTAGAGCCTTCCAAGCTCCTATTGGTCTGATCAGTCACAGTCGAACAACTGTACCTTGACCCCCCCCATCATGATGTCATTGTATGAAAGACAAACAACAACAACAGATGGCCTCTCATTCAATAAACTCCACAAGAACAGCGTGGCACAGTTGAAATTGTGCTCAACTGCAAGTCAGGGAACCTAGGTTCAAGTCCCATTTCTACTATTTACTTCCTATGTGATCTTGGGCAGTCATTTAATCTCCCAGACTTCAGTTTCTCTTCCGTAAAATGAGAGGTTATACTAGATAATCTCTGAGGTCGCTTCCAGCTCACAGATACGTTCTTTTTTACTTTACAAGTCCAGCCGTACCACCAACTTCCAATACAGAGTGTCCTCAATGTTTTAGTGCAGGTTTAAGCTTTAACACAGCTTAAAATGATTAGGCTTTAACATTGGATGGACCAGAATTTAAAAACACCTTGAAGAACCAAGCTATGTCAGTTGCTGGAGTTCATTTTTTTATTCCTAAGGAAAAGATAATAGAGGCGGTATGATGAAAATTTTTATTTCAAAGTAAAATTCTACATATATGTATATATGCATACACACATATACACACAAAGACACATGTACATACATGCATGCATACATACATACATCAAATGATTTGCCAGGTCCTTCTAGTGTTAAGAACCTGAAATTGCACTAAGACTTTGTATTTTGAGAGTGATGTTGACTTAATCTATGAAATGGGAAAAATTAGGTTTGATATAGTTGAAAAGACCCTTATATTTAGAGTTAGGAGACTTAGGTTTGAATTCCAGGTCTACCACTCACTACCCATGTACCACTATCCATCAGGAAAAGTCACTTAACTTCCAAGCTGAAATAGAGTGTGATGAAGTAGAACACTGTACTTGGAGTCAGAAGAGGTATGGATTCAAATGCCACCTACAATATGTACTGTTTGATCTTGGGGAAGCCACTGTTGCTCTCTGAGCCTATTTCCTCATCTGTAAAATGAAGCTAACGCCCAGAGGGCCTCCCTCACAGGATGGTGGTGAGGACCACGTGTAATGATGTGCACTAGAGGTAACAAATGTGTCGACAGAGCTTCATTGTAGCCTGCAACACATTGCAATGTGGCCATTGCAACAACAATGTGGCCTTGTTCCCAAGGGCAGCCCAAACTGGACTAGCGTAATTGGAAAATATTGAACTATTTATATTTAAATATTTAACAAAACAAATAAAGTACAATAGAACATGAATAATGTCAATATGTAGTTTTTTAAATCAATATGTGGCCTGAAGGAATCCTTATGCACAGTTTAGGGGCCCCCATTTCTATTTCAGTTTGACACTATTGATATACAGGTGGCACAGTAGGTAGAGCTCCAGGCCTGGAGTCAGGAAGACTCATTTTCCTGTGTTACAATCTGGCCTCAGACACTTATTAGCTGTGTGATCCTGGGCAAGTCACTCAATCCTGTTTGCCTCAGTTTCCTCATCTGTAAAATGAGCTGGAGAAGGAAATAGCAAACCACTCCAGTATCTTTGCCAAGAAAACCTTCAATGGGGTCAGGAAGAGTCAGACACAACTGACCGACTAGATAATAACAACAACAATGTGCCCAAGATGCTTTGCAAATGCTGAGGTGCTATATAAATGTGACTATTATTTAGGCATCATTCTGATACTGGATCCCGTACAAAGCAAACAAATAATTCAGCAAGCACTG